CATCTCTCTATAAATACAAATAATTTCAAATAAAAGTAAAAATAGATCTAAAAAAAAAAAACCCATACATCTGATTGCAGTACATCCTGTGAAACCCTGCAGAACTTTCTTCTTCCCTAAAAATAAAAATCAAAGTCCTCAAAATGGACTACAAGTTGAGGGTGTGGCCCAGGTGACAAGCATATCTTCCTCATTTGATTGTCAGCACAAACACACAAGGAAGGACAGAGAGCTGAGTCGTGTGTCTCAGTAGAGGGCTTGCCGAGCTTACATGAACCCCAGCATTGCATAAACCAAGCATGTGGACACATCTGTAATCCCAACATTTAGGAGGTGGAGGCAGAGGAATCAGAAGTTCAAAGCCATCCTCCAAAACATAGGGAGTTCAAAGCAAGCTTGGGGAACCTGACAGCGTATGTGTAAGATCATGACCTGAAGGGGCTGGAGAGATGGCTTAGCAGTTAAGAGCACTGACTGCTCTTCCTGGATTCCGGAAGAGGACCTGGGTTCAATTCCCAGCACCCACGTGGCAGCTCACAACTGTGTATAACTCCTATTCCAGCAGATCTGACACACATTCACATAGAGATACATGCAGTCAAACACCAATGTACATAAAATTTAAAAAGACAATGACCTGAAACCAGAAGCTGCCCTCTACCAGGATTCTCAGAGCAGGATTTCTTTGCTTTTTTTTTTTTTTTAAATTTATTTATTTATTTGTTTGTTTGTTTTTTGAAACAGGGTCTCTCTGTGTAGCTCTGGCTGTCCTCCAACTCACTCTATAGACCAGGTTGGCCTTGAACTCAGGATCTGCCTGCCTCTGTCTGGAATTTAAAGGCCAACTCCACCCAACCAGAGTGAGATTTCAAAAAGCTGTCATCAGCAGAGGGGGAAAAATTGATGGTACAAAATGGAGCCCTCAAGTCCATTCATCCATGCTGCTATCCTACTGGAAAAATGTAAATGAAGACACAACCTCACAGCTCCCCACTTCTCCGTAAGGGATATGCTCCAGTGCCCACAGCGGGCACGGTGGACAGCGCTGAGCATGTGTGACGTACTTTCTCCTGTACATACATTCCATGATAAGGTTTATCCTGCTAATCAGAAACAGTGAATGATTAACAGTAACTAATAAACTAGGACAATCATAGTGATATACTCCAAGTTACATAAATGTGTTCCCTTTAGGGAACCGCCACAGACCTCAGCACACAGTGCGAGCAGCCTGGGCACCTGCAGGTCCTCCCTCCCTCTCTGATATTTAAAGAGTCAGCTTCCTCCCTTGCTCAGGCTTCACTGTCTGGGTCTGCCCTCTCTGCCCCGCTCAGACCTTCCCACACGCCTTACACCTTTGCTGCTTCTTCTCAGCTCTTCCGATATTTATTACATCAATTTACTCTGGGTGCGCACCCACACTGCGGTGTACCTTCAGAGGTCAGAGGGCAACTGGACAACTTGTGGGAGTCCATTCTCTCCTTCCACCATGGAGGTCCTGGGGATCAAACCCAGGTCACCAGGCTTGGCAGCGAGTGCCTTTGTCCACTGCACATCTTTCTGGCCCTTCTCCTTACTTCATGACTATGAGTCACAATGGCCAACTACCTTCTTCAGTGCCTGTCCCCTCCACACTACAACTAAAGCCCAAAGGCAGAACTCTTCCCCGCTCCCATTCCCCACTCTGTCCCCCATGCCTTGCATAGTGTCTGGCCCACAAAAGGAAGTAAATGTGCTAAAGCCATCGGTGAAGGACAAGGGTAGGACAAGGGCTGCCTGGGCTCACTTCCTGTTTTGAGGACTGCATTCCTTCCTTTCCCGATGCCTAGGGCCATTGCCACACATAAGCAGGGGTCTCCTGTGATGGGTACCCTGCCCAGAGCAGCTCACAGAGCAGATGGCTAGCAATAATCTGGGCTAAAGGTGTGACTCAGTGATTGAAGCCTTGCCTTGCCTTGCACCTGAGAATCCCTGGGGTGGGTCTCCAGCACCTGGGGAGGGGGGCTTGCACTCAGGTGTCAAGGTACATGCCTGTAATCCTTCCTACTCAGGAGGCAGAGGCTCAAAATTAAGTTTAAAGAGAGCTGGAGACTGCAAACTGAACGGAGAGCTGCTTGCTTGCTCAGTCTAAACTCCAAAGACTCAGTCTAAACTCCAAGAAGCTAGCTGTTCCTAGAGTCTAGCAAAGCGGAGGGTAGGATGAGCCCCAGAGGCCTCAACTAAAGGTGGAAAACTTGGGGGCAGCCAAGTCTTTCTCAGCCTTCCTAGCCTTGAGAGCCTTTAATACAGCTCCTCGCGTTGTGATGACCCCAAGCATAAAAGCATTCTGCTGCTACTTCATGACTCTAAGTTTCTGCTGTTATGAACTGTAATGTAACTGTATGATACGTGACCCCAGATGGGTGGTGACCCACAGGTTGAGACCTGCTGTTCTAGAGCTTTCCCTCAAAACCTTGCTGGGTCAAACAAAAGCACCCAAACCAGCTCTGGAGGAAGCTGACACAACACAGGACAGGACACAGATACACAGATAAGAACTAACTCTTGGGTCTGCAAAACTTGAGGAAGGGCTGTGAGATGGAGGGCAAAGGTGGAAGAAAAATGTCAGTTCCACGAGGCTGACCTCTGACCTCCATACATGTACTGTAGCATGTACAGACACACACACAAACACACACACACACACACACATTAACATGTGTCTCTCACACATACATAATAAATAATAAAGATTTTTTTTTAACGCCCTGATGATCAGCCATTGTATAATTTATTCTTGGATCTTAGACACTGGGATTGCTTGTCCCCTCCACGGGTGCAGGACTGGCGGGACACCTTCCTGGTCCAGCCACCGAGAGAAGACCTACCTAAAAGTGGGGCTAAAGAGATGGCGCAGCAGTTAAGAGCACTTACTGTTCTTGTAGAGGGCCCAAGTTCAATTCCCAGCACCCACATGGCAGCCCACAAGCATCATAACTGCACTTTCTGGGGATCCAGTGCCCTTTTTCAGCCTCTGTGGGCCCTAAGGGTCACATGTGGTGCGCACACATCCTTCGGGCGAATGCTGATACAAACTAAAGTACGGTAAGTCTTTGGTGATACATCTGAAAAAGTCAAGGTGAGGAAATGACAACGTTTCTAGCCAGGAGTAGAAAAGGGAGTCTAAGTAAGTGCTGTCCCTACAGAGTCTGAGCCAAAAGCTTTCCCGAATTCTAATTATCAGAAGGGCCAGCAAGCAGCTGCTAGAGGAATCAAGTGGGAGAGACACGGGATGACTTGTTTGTGTTTGTTTTGTTTTGTTTTGAATCCTCACCTCCCTTGGAGACCTTGGGGAAGAACCTTCCAGTGGCTGATTTTTAAAATGCGTATCCAGCTGGACAGTGGTGGCACACACCTTAATCTAAGCACTAGGGAGGCAGAGAGGGACAGATCTCTGAGTTTGAGTCTAGCCTGGTTTATAGAGCGAGTTCCAGGACAGCCAGGGCTACATATAGACACCTTCTGTCTCAAAAAAAAAAAAAAAAAAAAAAAAAACGTGTATCCAAATTCAGGATCCCAAAGGAGCTTTATTTTGTTAGTGTGGTTTCTTAGGATAGTTTGATTTTACCATTACCCTTTTACCAGAACCGCCCCCCACACACACACACACACTGCAAAAAAAAATAAACGATGAAAAAGAAAACACTGGATGCCATTAACTTCTACATTTTGCTGCTGGGCTGCCTTCTAGGCGTCCTGGAGGCCTAACCACTTGATCGGGTCCCAGAAGCACAAAAGCAGAAATGTCCCTTTCTCCTTGGCAAAGGGGAGGGTCAGGACTCCCGCCCTCTCCCTCCTCCTGGCCCCCAGCTCTGGTCAGCTGCTTCCACACAGTTAAAGATTACCACTCTAGCCAGGACAAACCCCACAGCCAGACCCACCCCCTCTTCCTCATTCTCTTGGCTAACCCCAAGGGGCTATGGGCCAGGTCAGGATAGAATTTCCCGTGGCAACAGGCATCAAAAAAGGCCACCAAGCGCTCTACATTGTTCCCTGTCTTTTGTACCAGGGCGTTGAGTAGCCAGGGTGTAGCAAGACGCCCATATGCCAGGCCGAGCAGCCCGTTGGTAACGGAGACTCTTAAGACATGCTCATTTTGCCTCCAGTTGAGCCTTCAAGTCTAAGAAGCGAGCTGAAGGCAACGCAGACCTCGGGGGAACGACTGACAGGAAAAAAAAAAAAAAAAAAAAAAAAAAAAGGACAATGCGCGTGCACTACCAGCTTGTATGCTAGGGCAGGCAGGACCCACTCACACGCGGCGGGTGGTGGGCCCCTGGGGAAGGGCCAGGACACGGCCCCAGACAGCCTCCAGCACAGCGAAGGCTGGGGGAGTGGCGGCCAAAAAAAAGTGGGGGGAAATAGAAGGGCAATTCCTCCAGCTGTCGAGTAAAGATTCCGAAAATAGCTGGCTGACGTGGGCCTGCCGGAGAGGAGGGACGTGAGTGCGCCCGGGGTTGGAGCGAAGGGGAAGTGGAGGCCTCTCCGCCTCGCCTTTGTCTGAGCCGGGACTGCGGGGTGACCCTCCCCCGTCTAGGGCAGCAGCAGGCCTCCCCCGCCCCTCAGGGTCGCTTGTCCCCTCCATGGGCGCAGGGGAGTCAGGATACCCCTCCCCGGATCCAGTCACCCCCTCCCCCCCAAGAAACGCTCCCTCGGAATAGCTGGAGAACCCCAGCCGGGACAGGACCCAACAGTCAGGCCCCGGGGCCACCAGCCGCCACTATCCTCCCGCGTCCCCACCCCTGCGCCTGCAGGAGCCTGGACGCGCCCGGCGCGGGAGCCCAGAGGGAGGCCACCTCTCCCCCGCCCCACCCCCCAGCCCTTCCGTTCCCCGGCCGCCCGCGTGTCGCGAGTGGCGCTCCCCGGTCCCCCTCCCGGGACGTCGCCACGTCGCAGCGCTGCCCGCGCGCCCGCCCCCCCCGACTCCCCACCCGCCCACCCATCCCCCCCGGCGCGACACTCACAGTGGCGCCGCGGCTGCTCCGGCCGGCTGGGGACGGTCAGGGCGGCCGGGGCCCAGGTCCGCGCCGAGCCCGGGGCTCTGCAGAGCGAGCGCGCGGCCCGCAGGTAGCCGGCCATCCCGAGCACGCACGCGAGGTCCGAGCGCGCCGCTGCACCGGGCTGGGCGGCGGGGACTCGGCGAGCCCGGGTGGCGGGGACCCGACCGGGGCGGGGCCGCGCAGCCTGCAGCCCCATTGGGTCTCACCCGGGAGAAGGCGGGTCCAGGGCCCGGGCAGGAGCCTTCCCGACACCCTTGGGCCTGGTCCAGAGCCCGGGCCGCCCCAGCCCTGAGCCCGCGCTTTCTGGGAGCCTCCGGACATCCCCCGAAGCGGCAGGAGCCAGTGAGACCCAGGATCCAGAGCTAAACTCCTAAGCACAGCGGCGGAGGGAGGACCATTCGGCTCCCTGCTAAGGTCAAGGCCAGCCTGGGCTACACGAGAACGTGTGACAAAAGCAAAAGGTCGAAATCCCCGTCCGCCCCTCACGAGGACAAACGTGTAGCCCCGGAGTCCTTCCGCGCGGCCGAATCCGTGTCCTCTGCGCAGAAGAGTGCTGCCGGGGGACTTTGTGCGTGTAAACACAGTCACCCTTCATGACACAAGCACGTCAGCCACAGTCCGTGCCAGTAGTTACGCACCCCTGAAGGAGAGTCTCCCCAACTATGGGGAAATGGACTGCTCTCGCCACCCAGCCCCGTAGCTCCTATTTTTGCCTGGTCGCATAGAAAAGCTGCCCACGAAACCTGGTCACTGCCCATTTTCTGGGAGGAAAGGTCAGGGAAGGCCGGGTTCTGTGTGGTCGAAATCTCACCGACCCACCCAGCTTTCCCATTCGCACCGGTGCAACTCCACGCGAGAACAAGCCTCCTGGCCCGTGCTCCCGGCTCTCCTCACCCCGGCTTCAGGACCGGCATAGCCCCATGGAGCTGGGCCAGGAAAGTGACCTTGAGCTGCTAACATCAGAGCTTCCCCCCTGCAGTCTGTCTGTCTGTCCAAGCCACCGCTTCAGCTCTAGGATCCAGTAGAGAGGGCATTTGCAAGGAGAGGCTACTTTGGGTCCCTCCGGGGTCTGAGGAAAGGAAAAAGGAGAAGCCTGGCCCGTGGCTGCATGTTCCAGAAGAGCCTGAGAGCCCTTTTCCCTTGCATAAAAACGCTGGTAAAGACCGTGGCGGCTGATGGCTTTGGCTTTCATGACATCCTGGCAATATCAGGTCCCTGGACTTCAGGATCCACACGTGCACGGTGGGAGAACAGACTTCCTAAGGGTCTTTCTGGACTAGTCAGATGCAATGAGAGAGGGCAGCTGCCCATACGGCCACTGGAAAAGGGTCTTCCTGCTTCCCCTACAGAGCAGACTCGGGTCTCAGGGGGCTGACAATTCACCCCTCAGACTCGGTGTTTGTTTACTAAGGGACTGATGTAGAAGTCCTTGTGTTTTTATAACCATCACAGGTAACACTTTCTAAAGCGTGGCACCAGTTAGGGGCAGTTAAGGCAAGGTCACTTTGTTGTTGTTTTCTGAGACAGGGTTCCTCTGGGTAGTCCTTACTGTGCTGGAATTTGCTCTGAAGTCCAGGCTGGCCTCAGACTCAAACGCTGGGATCACAGGCTTGTGCTCTACCATCACCAAGCTTAGCCCCACGATTTTAAAGTTAAGCTCCATTTCATGATTGAGTCTAAGCTACATACAAGTTCTCTGTGGAAGAATAAAAGTTACTCTGTCTCTACCCTCTTAGAATGTGTCCCCACAGATCCAGGAAGAAGGGTCCCAAGAGAAGCTTCTTTTTCTTCTTCTTTTTTTTTTTTTAACTTCACCTCATTATTGCTATTTGTTGTTGTTGTTTTTAAACAGGGTCTTGTGTAGCCCAGGCTGACCTCAAACTTTCTATATATTAGAGAATGACCTTGAACTCCTGCTCCTCCTACCTGTTTCCAGACCACAAGCTGACAAAAGGGGTGTCTCAGCTTCTTCCAGCCTGCCCTCCAGGCGCGTGTTTTGTGGCGTGCTTATGAGCAAAATGTAGGCTCTCAGACTAGAGATAAGGCAGGGTCTCACCCCTGGAAGAGAGACCAGACTCCCTGAACCAAAGACAGGCCGGACATGGGTCCTGAAAGACTTCCAAAAAAGGACAGGGCTGCAGAGGTAGTGCAGCCACCGTCTGAACACACGCCTGGCAGGAGAGGAGGCGAGGTGAAGCAGCCCTCCCCCTGGAAGGCTGAAGTGCCATTATTAGAAGGTGGAAAACAGGAGGCGGGGTCTCGGTAGCTGGGCAAGCTATTTATGGTGATCTCCCCGGCCTGCCCTGTGCCCGTTTCCAGTGCCTTCTCCACGGAGCCCAGCGCCAGCAGTCACTCTACAGCTCACATATGCCTGCAGTGGCTCTCCCACAGACTAGGGACTAGCACAACAGCTGGCTAGCTCTGCCGCCTGGGTCTGCACTGCCTCTTACCGAGGCAAACAGCTGCTTTCCCCTGCCATAGCCCAACCCAACTTCTGCTTGCTGGCTGCTTTGGTATGCTTGTGTCTCCATAATTCAGATGCTGGACCCCAATTCTCAGTGATGTTGCCTGCTACACAGGCTTCCTGGGCCCCTGTGGCTTGCCAAGTCTGACCTAGGGGTAGATCAGAGGGCACATTCCTTCCTTAGAGGAACTTAATCTTCAGGGCTGTGGGAAAGATGGACACATAGTTCATTTCCAGCTAGAGCGGACGTGGTACAGAGGGTGCTCTGCAAGCCAAGGCTAGCCTTAAATCTGAGGCAACCCTCCTGCTTCAGCCTCACTCTGATTAGAGATGTGAGTGAGCATGCCTGGCTTCAGTGTCAACTTTATATCGTTCTGTGGAAACTGAATATCTGTCTCTGCTTTAGCTAGAAAAATGACCATCCTGGCTATGGCAATTCATACCTGTTATTAAGCACAGGACAAAAAGGTGCTCACGTGTGCACACACACACACACACACACACACACACACCAACTTAAACAAATGGACGCTATAACTACAGTGCTGTCCAGAGTGCCCTGAATAACCCATTCTGCCAGCTTCCTTCAATATAAAGGCATCTCCACAGACTTTCCTCCCTTGGAGGGCAGGAGAGGAAGTGCAGTCAGGGAGAGGAAGTCAGGGCCCCCTTCCCACACACCCTCAACAAACAGAAAATCAGCTGCACGGAAAACCAGCTGCTGCAGCTGGGACTGGCCACACCCACAGCTGCAGCTGCTTGCTGGAAGAACACCCACACACAAACCCCAAAATCCCCATTACACCCCACAGCCCCAACAGCCCCCACTTCCTGGCCAGACACACCTGCCCTTCACTCCAGGTGCTCCTGAAGGAGCCACAAGGGTTTTTGTTGTTGTTTCTTCCCCCATTGGTATAATGTTCTTTTGGAATGTACACACCTTACGCTTGTTCATTCAAGTCCTGATTTCTCTCTCCCACATCTGGTTTCAAACTGGACATTGCATTGACACTGTGTCTCAAGTTTGTGTAAACATGCCACCATTTGTTCTCTAAATTGTCAATTAAAACAACCAGCTACAGTGTTGAGCAATGGAGAGGATAGGGTGGGACATCCTGGTTCAGAGTGGAAAGAGAGGAAGGAAGAGGAGGACAGGGAGGAGTGGAAGGCAGGAGAGAAGGAGAAGAGGAGCAGAGCTGGGAGAAAGAGGCTGGAGGAGAGGTCTTGGAACAACATGGAGAAATGAGCTGGACCTAAGATATCCCTAAAAGCAAGTAGAATGGGTGAATCTGAATGGTAGGAAACTATGCAAGCTTGGATGTTTAGGATGGAGTAACTATTGCCCAGCATTGTGTTCTAGGTTAACTAAATAAATCCCAGTCTCTGTGTGGTGATTTGGTTATACAGCTGTTCAGGATTAACTGCAGCTTTACTAAAAGATATATCAATAGTAAATATTTATAAACAAGTACAACACCCCCCCCCCAAGGACTCAGGAGGACGAAAGACCACCACAAAGTGAGAAATTAGACAGAGATGGACTGCTGTGACCCAGAACAAAGGTTCAAATGGAGCCAGGCATGGTGGCACACGCCTGTATTCCCAGCACTCGGGAAGGCAGAGGCAGGCAGATCACTGTGAGTTTGAGGCCAGCCTGGTCTACAGAGGGAGTCCAGGACAGCCAAGGCCACACAGAGAAACTTTGTCTCAAAACCAACCAAACAAAAAGGGTCCCATGGTGTGGTCCTGAGCCCTGGAGAGATGGCTCCGCAGGTGAAGAGCGCTTGCTGCTTTCGCAGAGGACATGGGTTGGTTTCAGCCCCCATGTGGTGGCTCACAGTCATCTGTGACTCTAGGTCCAGGGGGAAGCTGAGCCCCTCTTCTGACTTTGAACATATGTGATGTGCACACGTGCCCAAGACAGGAAGTAAAAAGCTGGGCATAAGATGTAGCTCATCGACAGAACACTTGTCCAGCATAATCACTGCCCTGAGTTTAATCCTAAGAAGAGAGAGAAGAGAGAGAAGAGAGAGAGGTCCTGAGTGGATACTTCAAGAAATGATTTGAAGGCTGGGCCAATGGCTCAGTCGGCAAAGTATAAACTTGCCATATGAACTTGAGTTTGGATCCCCAAAACTCCTAAGGAAAATAAGGAAGTGACCTGGTCAGAGTGGGATATATCCTTAATATCAACACTCAGGAGGCAGAAGCAGGCAGATCTGTATGAGTTTGAGGACAGCCTGGCCTACATAGCTAGTTTCAGAATAGCCAGAGCTAGGGAGCAAAACCCTGTCTCAAAAAAGAAAAAAATAAAAGGAAAGAAGAAAGGAAGAAAGAAAGAAAGAAAGAAAGAAAGAAAGAAAGAAAGAAAGAAAG